TAGGAGCAAAAACAGACAAACAAAAAATAGGTGGTACGATGGAAAATACAATAGTAATATCAAAGCCATTTAGCACTGAAAAGGTCAGGCCTTACATTTTTTAAGGAATGTCAGAGCTATATATAGGAAAAATTAATTTCATTGATCTTTTGTGGTGATAAAAAATAGACTAAAGACTTCCAAGATTCAACGATTAAATTTTTGCTCTGGACAGATTTGAGCAAGGTTTGAAATTAATGTAAAACAGCTATTAGCAAATTTAGCTGAGTGAATAAGCAAATATAAAATTTCCTGACTGGATGGTTGTTTTTTTAATTTAGCAAATGTGACAATTACTGTGCGAGAAATTTTGAACTTTAAAATCAACACAATGTTTTGCTAGAGATTCCATTTAGCGTTGTTTTATTTTTGTTAATTTCATTATCCTGTAAAATGTGTAGGGGGAAGAAGGAAAACTACAACGAAAAGAGAATTGAAGCTGAAGAGAAGGAAAACGTTTTTGGCAAAACTGAGTATATGACTAGAGAAAGATTTTCTTGATCAGCTAGAGTTGACGAAATGAATTAGTTTTAGCTCCAGATAGAAGAGCAAGGGAAGTTGGAAACTTATGAAAGTAAGACACAAAGCAAAAAATAGAATGAAATAGGTGATTGCAAGGTAATAATGTGTTTATAATAACTTTATAACTCAATGTTTTAGGTATCGTTTCAAAAGAGACACTATTGTATGCATCAAGCAAGTTTCTAATCAACATAAACATATCTTTCATTTCTGTTCATAGGATTAACGTGTCGGATTCGATGATCACTAACTATATTTTAACACACTATGTTAAAAACCAGAGATACCATTACATACTGTCTTTTAAAGGTCTGGTCGTCCCTACATGTGCATCAAATAAAGCTGAAGATATTGCTGGAAACGAATCAAGACCTAGTTTTCTGATGGTGCAGAACTGTGTGAACATACAGGGCATGTGAATTGAATATGAATACCAAAGTATGCGACAGAATACGTTTAATGTATGCAGGAATTGACTTATTTCTTCACAAAGCTCTGCTACAATTTAAGCGTCAAATGTGAATATAGTTTTGATGGCCTTGAGAAAAAATTATTTGTAGGCCAACAGAAACTGCAACGGAAAGTATCACGTAACCTATATAATTTTTCGTTTTTATTTTTCTCGATATTATACATTAGCCTCTGTAACAGAGAAACTAGAAAAGTTTACATTTTAATTTCGCTACAAGACACCGCAAGGCAATCTGTGAATTTTCTGTAATAAAACTTTGAAAGAAAATTGGATTTAGCCTAAGATGTGTATTTGTCTGCACAAAGGTTTGAAATTTTGCAGATAAAATATTGAGTGTGTAGCAAAGATTTATTAGTAGAAAAATTTATTTACAAGGGGAAAAAACTGAAAAGACCAGAAACAAAAAAATTGCAAAATTTGTTAATGATTTGGCTTGCTCGACAAAACTCAATGAAAATTGCACAACATTGTATACAAAAACTGAATATTCATTTTGGATTCAGAACACATGCAAATTTGGTGCACAAAATTATGAAAACTAAAATAATTTCTTTAGGAAGATTTTTCTTAATGGCATGCATATCAAAGAAACGATGGAAATTTAAATTTATTTAGCTTTTAAAACAACAGCTCTGTTTCTTGTGCAATAATGCTTTCTCTATGAAGAGTAACCAAAGTAATAGTTGGTTTTGTAAACTAATAGGCTGTTTATATAAATCAAAATTATTGACTAATTGCATTAGCCAATTTGAAGATCATTTATAAGTACTCTAGTTTTCTATCTTTTCAATTCACTGACAAATTAGATGTTCTATTCAAACTTCAAATACAATATTTAAGACTAGAATCCATGAAAACAAGATTTTCATCAATAAAATTTTTATTTTGCTTGGCTTTCATTGTTGAATTTGTGAAGGCATAACAGCTGAGAAATACAATAATGACGAAAAAAGTAAAATAATAATCTGAGCCTTTTTTAAAGATTAAGAAAAGACACAAAATAGTCAAGACCAACACCTTACTTTCTCATGCTGCTATTGCTTAGAACAAACACTCGAAATTTAGAAAACCTAATCCTATTTGGCGGTATATTTCACTTTTAAGTAGTATTTTCAAAATGCGAACTTCAATACTGTAAATATTTCAAACACGATTATGCAGATTTAATACAACTGAAATTAAATTGTGGGTGAAACTAACCATTGAAACACTGTGATAAGATGTTTACCATGGGTATTTAAACCAGCCAGTCAACTTTGAGCTTGCAAGGATCAATTTCCCATTGATGCTAGAAGCATTTATGCAAGGATTATTCTTGCAAAGATCAGTCATTAAATCCTGGATATCATTCGTAATCAGTTTTAATAAGAAGTTGCTCAGATTGTTTCAGGCAATGCTACTACATGCGTTTTGAGGTTTGATGTCAAGGAATGAAAGCTTGTGCTGTCAGAACGTAAGTTTTGCAAACGTTTATCGTTGGGTTCGATAGTTATATTTTCAGTTGTTTATCTTTTCGCTGCCGTCTTTACATCGTGTAATTGCTTCGAACATGAGCTAAGGAATATTTTTTAGGCATTCAAAAGTACAGGTATATATGTCTTAGGCTAGGCACATCTGGTTGCTTGTTTATTGCTCGAGTAATATCGCAGTGGCTGAAAAATTTTATATTTAAAAATGGCTTTTGAACTATTTAAAGAAGGATCACGGATTTGCATTGCCCTGATTTTCAAAAGGCAAGTACTGGTGTCTTTCTGTAAGACATTCCTGTATTTACACTTTAAAATGATGGCATAAGAGAGTTACGAGTGTGGTGTCTCCTCTGATAACCCACGTGCTTTGTACACTTGTAGAAGAAAAGTTCTATTCCATACTCATCAACTTATTGCAAAAAGTAGCAATGTTTTTTTTTACAATTAAAGATTCTTCTAAAATGCTTCATTGCATATAAAATTTTCCTATAGTCAGAAACTCGAGGAAGCAGACTTCACCTTATGGATGTGAAAGCGTACTAAATTCCTAGGTACCAGTCAAAAACTGATAAAATTACAAACGCTATCGACGTCTTTATCAAAGATCCAAAACTCGCTTTGGTGCTTGACATGAAACGAAGATGATGATTGCCGCCAAAAATGAAAATATTAAGAAATAAAATAAGTATTTCACGTGAAATCAATAGCAAACAACGGAAAGATGAATATGTTTTGATGTATAATGAATATACTGAGGGACAATAAAAGACATCAAGACTGTGCCGTGTATGTATGATTTCACAGTGGCCGTATAGAGAGCTTAATTTGCTGGTTCTTGAATTAACCCGCCGTTACGACAAGGGCCATCTCTTTTCCCTATCAAAAAGAGAGGTTTTTCAGAATATTCAACTCTGACATGGCAGGGTATTGGTAATAATCTTTTAAAAAATCCATCTTCAAGGCGGTCGCAAATTTTTCAGAAAAACCCTCCATAGGAAATTTCAGCAGGCATCAATCAGACTTTAATATAAACTCAATCATAAACGATCTTTCTGTCCAACTTTAAAAGATAGTCATTTCTAACTTTAAAACAACTAACAAAAGTTGGTGCCATCATATGTAGGCGGAAAGTATTCGTGTCTCAATCATAAATAAAATTCTCCAGTCGAATTTAACATTGAAATTCATTCACAAACATATAAACATCGAAAAGTATTCAAATTACTCACGAAAGATTGCTTTGAATGAAAATTTTTCACGAAAGAAATAAAACTTTTTACGAAAGAAAGCTTTGAGCATTCATGAAATCAATTAGAATGAAGCTTACAGAGATCACGTTTGTAACAAAGAATCCCTTTATAAAGCAAAAATCAATCGAATACTAAAGAAAGAGAGAAGATTTTAATGCAAGGCCTCCTTTATGTAAACCTTATTGTCTTCAATGCTATTTATGTTTGAAAAATTTATTTTTCAGTTTGTAGCATAAATTTTGCTTTGGAGCAAAAAGTTTGTAAAGCCAAAATTTTACAAGAATAAAGTTATGATGATAAGAATACACTTAGTATTCATGTTAAAACCACTAGGCAACCAGGTGGAAGCATTCATTCTGTCTTGTTTTTAATTATACGATACAGATATTGAGTTACAAGGAGATCTGATATCGCCTTTGAACAGGTAGCTTAGAGCTTCTGATGACCACTTATTGTAATACTCGGCAACCACACGCTTCATCTCGCTCAACCATTAAACGGCACATACTTCGTGTCACTCTCGCATCCAGAAGTTAAGCTCAACTGCCTACTTTGGCAATGTGGCAAGGATCTTTATTGAAAGACAAACAAGGTATCGTTCATGTCTAAATGAATTTGCTTTCATGTGAAAATTGCTAGCAATGAAATTAATGCTTATCTTTTACCTGCTTATTATAGGGCCTATCTCATCTAATTTGGGGATAGATGTATAACAGTTTCCTTTGATAATATAACTGCATCTGTGACATAATTGACCAAAATGTAAATACAAAAACCATTGGGTTGTCGCCTTAATGACTGAAAAATATTGAATTTTGAAAATTTTAGCTTAGAAAGAAATGACAAAACCAAAATATTCAAAGTCGAGTTCAATAAAGCAAATTTTAAATTCTATTTAAATCTCTTGTCCACGACAACTCCCAACTAATGTCATAAATTCTGCTTAGCCTATAGCTAACATACCCATAAATTTTGAAAAAAAACAAAAATTGATATTAGATGTTAAAAGAATAGTTTACACTGAATAAATATATCATATAGATATAGTACCAAATAGCTTTCAAGGACTTGTTAACCATTTTTCAACTTTAGGCAGTATGTCAAATCACATTATAAAAATTTCAGACTGCAGATTGTAAAAATTTCAGACTGCAGATTGTAAAAATTTCAGAATGCAGGTTGTAAAAATTTCAGACTGCAGTAGATTCAATTATAGATGAAACTATTTTTTATGGAAATAAAACTCACCTTGAATCAAGCTCCTATCGTGCAATTTATAAAGCTCCTATTTCTGAATCTTTTCCACCCAATAATTCCGAATGTTAATATTTGTGGCATTGGATTCTGTTCATGGAGCAGGTTCGATATCAAAAGAAAAGTACTGTATTAGTGCATGTAATACTTCCTAATTAGTCGTGGGTGCTTTTGAAGTTGCCAACTAATCCGAGATAATGCCAATGAAGTGTTTTGAGGCTCCTTTTTAAACAGACTTTGCATAAAAATGATCTGCACAGAAATGGTTTGAGTACAAAGCCAGCGAAAAATCTTTTGTTTGAACTGTAAATACTTTGCATTCAACCAGATGTCTATAGCCAGAAATGCGAGTTTCAAACTTTCAATAATTGGAATTGTCAGTAGTGTAGTCTGAAGATAAATCACATCAAACTTGCAAGAGCTCAAGTGAAGCCAAAGGCAAATTTCTGCATTTGCGATAAAGGAAAATTTAAAATTAATGCTTATCTCTTCGCGAACTGAAAGTAAATGGCTTTGCGCTGGAAATACTTTATCTAAATAAAAAAGGCCAAGACGTTTTGCCAAGCAAACACGCCAAAAGTACAAGATTAATTCAAACGGGAAAATCTTTTGGGTAATAGACTAAGCTGCTTAGTGTGTTGACTACGTGTACCATGTTGGGTTTGAGAATTGTTCCCGCGCTCTTCAAAACGTAGTCCATATCAAGAACCATGGAGATTCAAGGATGGGCTATTTAATGCCAAAAAGATACATCACTCTCCAAGAGGGTAAAACTACAAGTTTTTAAGATTTTCAGACTACGAGAGTCAGAAAGTTCTCAAGATTTTCAGTTTCATGATACACAAGGAATTTCCGATCAAAACAAATCTAAAAAACGCATGGAATCATAGATATGCGAACACCTTAACTATCAAATTAATTTCATTATCGTTTTTTCTTTCTAAGACATCTCCGTTTATAACACTCATTTATCACGACATGTCATATCTGCATTTTTAATAGAAAAACGTCTGTATAAACCCCCGCACCTAATGCTCATATTTAGAATTTTAGAATCTATGGTTCCCAGCACCCTCAAATCCATCCCATTTATATGTTGGTAAGCAATCTCTCTCTCTAATTTACCATCTCGCCAACTCACCAGCTTCTTTTGTTGAAATTTAAATTGTCGGCCGACGCAGCATTTAGCTTTTTCCCTGCTAAATTTTATTATTCTTGTGTGTGGGAACAGACTGGCTTGAACCAGGTTTAAAGAAACTAAATAAGATCTTTTACAGCATATTGGCTAAGAGCCTTTTTCGTCTGACACTCTCCAGAGCATAAAACGTCGGAATAAGGTTCCGAAAGAACACGATGAAAAATATATACCCAGTTGTGGATCGAAATAGTCCAATCAGAAAAACGCAAGCACAAGACCGGTAAAGTTGACCAATCAGTGCCGCGTGTCTAAGAAGAAATTACCACTGGAGTCCAAGAGAGAAAACGGACTCCTTCTGTCTTCAAAATGGCGGCTTTTTTCGCAGCCATTTGCAAGTTCTATATCATTTCATAACATTAACATTTCATAACATCATTCATGACATAATGATTAAGAAACTCTTAAGAAACAGCGAGTATTGAAATTTCCAGAATATTAAGAAACTGGAGTACTCAACATCGACCTTTGTTTCTTATAAAAAAAATGAGTAATCCTTAACCCTACTCTTGTATTTCTATTTTTGTCAAGACTTTTTCAGCCTACGTCTAAATAAAGGGATGTTCTTTTATGTTGGTTTCTACTGTAATTATAACGATGTTTCGCGCAACCACAAAACGGAAAACTGTCACTTGAGATGGTAAACACATCATGCAAAAAATTTTTTAAGAAAGAAGCTAGCATATTATAGCAGACAATCTACCAACAGCTAGAACCAAAACACAAGCGTAATAACGATATGTTTACACAGACGTGTGTGATTCCGAGGTCTAAATGTAAATTTACTCCTCTTGTTTGCACAAGAAGTTCCGTTTACTTCATACAACAGAAATCCGTAGATTAATATGTTTTATTATTGAGGAACTTCTAATGCTTTGTCAATGTGAGACAGCTGTGAAATTTTAATATTTCAAAGTCATGAAAAGACAAATGTGCATTTTAGTGTTATTGTAAAGGTTGAACTATTTTAAGCTTTGATTTATTGTTTCCGAATGGAGTAGGCTTGGAAAAACCTCCTCATTTACTGTAATTCAATATTCCCTAGATTAGTACACGCCTTTTTTATAAGAACACACTTTATAGGAACACTGAGGCTCGATTTGCCCAAAAAATAAGAACGAGGCTAGAACATGCTCAGCTTCAGATGAGAAAATTGAAAAAAAATAATTTGCATTTTGAAATTTATGTCAACAGAACAAAACTATGCAAGTCTGTCCATAAACGCTAACAGTCATTGCTTTATTTGCAAACTTACCCATTAAAACGTCTTAGAAACTATATACAGTATGTAACTTCTCAAATTTTCGCAAAAAAATCACTCTTAAAATAAGAACAATTTTAAGAACATTTGGGCCTAAAATTATCAAAAAGTTAAGAACATCGAGGCTCGGAAAAAGTTATCTGGTTGTTATAACAAGAGTGTATAGTGTTTTAAGTCACTGAGTTGCATTTTTTAACGGTAAAAGTAAAAGGGTCAAAGCCCGACTGCTTGCAAAATCATCTCATTGCATAAAAGTTTATATTGCTTGAATTCATTTCGTCAATTAGCTTTAATATTTTTCTATTCATCATGTCTTGATTTTATAAAGTTAAAATCTTTTTAGAGAAATTCACTGTTTGATTTTCCACAATATAGTTTGCTTTTCTCACGCTTTCTTATAGACCCATGAACCGTGACAATAGTTGACAATTCCTTTTCACGCTTTCCCAGAACGTATAAATTTTCACTAGCTTTCCAAAAGTCTTGGTTTTCATCCGCATTATATTTCTAAATGTTTAATACTGCATCCCCTTTTTCCCTCTCTTTTCAAACAATGTTGCTAAATGCCAAGCTAAGACGTTCAGTGGGGGAAAACTGATTCATTTCTGATTGATAGCAATATTTAAAAGTTACACAACCAATATTTTTTTGGGGGAGAGGGGTGTGGTGTCTTTTTTACAAAATACAGTTCATTATCAATAGGGTGTTTCAAGGAATTTTGGCAGGTTGGAATGTTGTCCAAGTTTTTGCTATCAAAAGAGGTTGCCCCAATAATTTTGCAGAAGCTTCAATAATTAGTCAGCTATGTTACAACTTGCAATGACTTTTGATAAAAGGCCTAACGAGACTTATCAGCTAATTCTCCGAATTAACAACCAACCTTGATGTAACAATAATAGAAAACCATGTTGTAAATCATCCAACACTTTTCTAATGTCAAGATTATCCACTTTCTGATAATTTTAGTCCTTCAATCCCTTGATTAGCAGAAATTCTTTAGCTATTTAGGGTTGGTTGTTAATTAGATCTTAGCTCGATTAGTGCGCTAAAGAAACAATGTATAGTTTGGGCTTTTGTATTTAAACGTCTTTAGAAAAAAAGTTTAAACGGAATCACAACATTTAAAATTTGCTTGTAGATCAAACCCCAGCTTAGTGAGATTAAAGCATAGTGATAGTTTTACAATGGAAACAGAGATTTTTTAGTAAATAGGGTTAAAATTGTTAGTCTTCGTTCGCCTCGTTCAACTATAAAAACTGACCAGGGGTAAATCTAGGCTTGTCTAACAAACATCAGACCTTGTTAGTTCATGCTGCAGATCCTCAAAATAATAGATACATTGAAAAATAAACGGGAGAAATTAATACGAACACAATGTTTTGAAAATATTGCTACTTGCCAATTGAGTTAGTGATTAAGGGTGATTTTAAATGAACGGTTTTCCTTTGTCCTGGACCACTTTTCTGGTTGGTGACGTTCAAGATAAACATCTTTTGAAAAGTCTCGTGAATTCGACTTCCATATCGTTAATCCAATTTATAGGTGTAACGATTTCTAACAGAAAATGTGTTTAATACATTACATTCTCGGGTTTTGTTATATGTTTCACTCCTCCTACTAATAACTTGACGCCTTTTACCAATTTTTTTTGCTTTCTCTTGGCAGACTTGCCTTTTTCTATTGTGGCTTTTATAAAAAAATTTGATGTTTTGAAATTTTGCCTAACTTGACTTTCTTTCGTGTGCCTAGCATCAGCAATTATCAATGTTTTTGCTACAGATTTTTCTTCGTAGTGCATTTTGTTGATAAAGTTCACAGCTCATACACAGCTCAAACTAGGGTTAATTTAAGGATTCTTCTCTAAAGTACAAGCCTGCAAGATACAGGTGTGGTTCTGACATATTGTAAAGTAAGGGGAGCCAGAAAAGAAATTTATTGTTAAATGGAATGATCGTTATAACGGGATATTTTACAGAGGGTTCGCTAAACTAAATGATTTTCTTGAGGAGTAGCGAGAGGATATTTCGTTTAAAACGGGAAATTTGATATATTGAGGACTGGTTAAATCTCGATTCTACTGAAAACAAAGACAATTATCTGTGGCCCTGAGACAAGCTTTTTGCTTAATTTTATCATCATGGTTTTCTTTATTTTTCTATCTGTTTAATTTATATTTCATCAATTTATACTTAGCCCTCTTTTTGCAAGTGCTAACATGAAATAATAATGTGCAAAAAGAAAGAAACGCAGGATATACTGTCGGCCGGATTCTATGCATCTTGCAATGAGTAAAAAGACGAAAAATAGTCAGAAACAAAGCAACACGATGATGGGAATCAAATGTAGTGACAAGGAATTATAAATTTAACTGACTTTAAAATTCTATGTGACTGCTTTGGATTCTTTTCGTTATATTGATTTATTTCTGACGATTAGTCCGATTTTATGAAATACCATTCCATACTTAAACTTGGAAACTTAAAATGAGAAGTTTAACAAACATGTTACCAAAGAAGTATAGTTTATTCATCTTTACATGCCTTGATTGACAAACATGAAAAACCGCCAAACTGGAACATGCACACATCGATGGTCTTATCTATGATTGCAGTTATCAACATCTATTTTACAGATTGATTATCTTCAAAATTCATAGAGATTTGTAGAGTCAGATCCTTGTAAAAATGTCTGAATTAATTAAACTGAATTATCCTGTCATTGGAAGAGTGCAGAAACGTTATATTTAGAAGGGTCCTATACAAAAACCATTGTCACAATTCAATGCATAGCATGGATTCACAAGTAAAATAATCGATGCTGCCTCTAGATGCATCTGAATAATATTTTTTCAGATAGTTCGTGTCATTAGCAGAAATTGTATCTGGACTTCTGATTTCAACTAAAAAGTTGCTTTTTCCAGCTTATTACCGTATAAATTGTTCAGTTACAGAAGCAATTAACATTTAATATAATTCAGAAATATTTGCAATGTCTCATATTAATACTTAAGAAATCATAAAGTATAAGTGTGCCCATACGAATACTAATCCGGGCATACCAAACGTACTGCAAGTTCATTTCGGTATGCCCAAATGAGCTCAAGACCTAATGTTTAATGTAAGCTCTATGCTACAATTCTTCCATTTAAAAGCAGTCCATGATAGTATCTTAAATAAAAAGAGTTTGTCGTGATAAAATCAATTAAAAAAAGAAATCAGATTCTGCCGTGAAGGTTTCTGTTGATACCAACAGGGTCATTTTTCAAGGAGCAACCTAACAGCGTCATTTTTCTAACAACTTGTCATCACCAGATCCATCAGATACAAAGATAAACTTACTCGAGATGTTATAAAGATATTATCCAGAGCTATTAAAAAAAACCTTTCAAAAATGTGACGGCATGAGTAAATAATTTATGGGAAAATAGAGATTAACTAATCTAAGAAGATAGATGCAAAATGATAACCACATGACTGATTCACTTAATCAAAATTGTGTATCCGATTGGAGAACAGGAGTTGGGCAAATACACTAAGAGAAAATATGAGCAAGTGACGGGACCCGGCCCCTCGACCAGTGACTCGGCTTATTGTCGTTGGCAGTTGGTAGGGCAGACTCACATTGAAAAAATGACAGAACGCAGACGCCAGTTGACACATTCCCCTTATTAGTATTTTTAGACTGGGGTACTATATTCCAGGCCCCAAAAGTAATTGTTGTATTACAATAGTATGAGCATCATTTATTTTTGATAATGAATTGATAAATATTACGAATACTTATTTGACAGATAATAACTGGCCTATACTTGCCTATATACCAAAGGCTGTATTTTGAATAAAAATGACATTTATCACCAACAATGTTTGACGATAATAAGCTGAATCTGCTCTCAACCAATCGATTGTTACACCATGCCTTACTTATATTGGCCGAAAATAACGAAATTTTGAAAATTAAATTCAGAGAAAGGTGAAGGAGTATCAGCTTGCGGTTTTGTATGCATTTCTAAGTATATTCTGCTTTCAAACGCTCCAAGAAATTCATGTAATGCTCTTCACAGTTCCAAAAAGCCATTTCTTAATGCATTTGGATTATTTCTCAAAATAACGGATTTTCAATTCTCATTTTGTATTTTAATTTGCTTTCTTTTACATTTAAATTGCACAATAATTTCAAGCATAGTAACCTATTTCTTCTTTTAATCATTTATCTCTTATATTCAAATAGAGTAACATCATTGCCTATTTATCAGGTAACAGTGCCGGTCATATCAATCTACCTTTAGGTGAACTAAAATTTTGATATTTTCAGAACGCCACTGACATAACGAATTTCTGTAAATGTGGCTTTACGGCAGATAATGGCCTATAAGAACAGATAGGTAAAGATAGAGCAGATATAAGCAGTATTTTTTGCAGCATTGCTTCAGTTATTGAAATGTATTTATCAGCAGCGACTGGTGTAAGCAAAAGAAAAGACAATTTGTTCATGTGCTTTCAAAATATTTTGAAGACATATTCAAAATCAGAAATCTCTTTGACACCTTCTCGGCCAAAATCTCTTTGAAATTTCTGTCATTTTATGATCAATAATTATAATATTTTTAATTGTGATTACGCTTAGCAACCTATTTATGGTGCTTTTAAACCTTGTTAAGAAATTTTTTTCACGATTGCTGATTTTGATAAAAATTTCCATCTAGAGTTGGTCTGAATTGAATAATTTGGGTATAACACCATGGCATTTCAGGTTATGCAGATCTTGAAATGTTTTACAACATTACAAAAACAGCAAGCTGTACAACATTTTGCACTCCCGTTCATTCCATTGTTCCAAACTTTTTGCTTCCTGGATTAAGCTTAATTCTTAAATAGAAGTTGCTACTACAATCTTGGCAAAAATTTCCGAGGCACTTTCAGACAGAGAAGCTGCTTACATTTAAACCGGTGGCTAGGTCACCGGCATTTATAATATATAGAGCTAGTACGTCAAGTATTTTCAAGTTCAAAAGTTTCAACTATTTTTTGCCAAAATTTAGCTACGTTTTTCTGTTCAACTAAAAAAGTTTGGCAAAATTACAAAAAAGAAGCTGAATAGATTTTGGTTTTAGAAAGGAAACTTTAGAGGTCAACAATAATGAACTTTTTTACTTCTTTAAATATAAGAACCAAATCTTGATAAAAAAATATAAATATTTTTCAGTAAATGTAATGTTTTGATAAATTGGTTTTAATTAAGAGCTTAATAGATAATTTTACAGCACCAATTTTACAGCCATTTCACAACAAGCGGCTAATAAAAATTCATTTCAATTTCTGAGCAGATTAACAAATAATATAAACTGTTTGATCAGTTTAATTATGTTATTATTCACTACAAAGATAGGAGAAATCTATTTTTGTTGATGGAAAAATGCAAGTAAAACAAATTAAGAACGACGAAGATCAGAAATTTTATGTTTGTTTTAGGAAGCATCAAATCTAACAACCCTTTTTTGAAGCACAAAACCATTAAATCTATTCTAAAAATACATTTCAGCAAGGTTTGTCTAAACCAACTATATTTTCTCTTTGTGCCCTTGAAGCACGTAAAATTTTTTGCAAGTTTCCACATAAATTAGAATTTATTTTAGTATAAAAACAAATTGATAACAGAGTGTTCCAAGAGCATTTTTCTCAGTTCTTGGTCATTTGCTTCTTATGCAATGATTTATATGATACTTGTGTAAAAACTAATTCATGCTAGTGCAACATCTACGAAATCTTGCGATGATTCTTCTTCATTTCTATGTTCAGTAGTTTATTAACAAGCAATATAGGCATTTATTCAAAGTAATTTTCTATCAAAGCAATAAGGGCTTTAATAACAGGCTTATTCTGCTGTATAGCACAACCGGAAAATAAACAAAAACATTAACAGGATCGTGTTTAATTTGCACTTAAATTCTTTTATATTTTCTAAAGCAAAATAATTGACATTAACAACCGATTTAACTTTGCAGGCTTTTTCACCTTGCATCTCCAAGAAAATCAAAGAATTTTCCATATGCACATTTCTATAGTAGTTTAAGTGAATTTTCTTCGCAAATAGCCTTATATGTGTCAACTTGGATATGCAGAAAGTACACTCTCAAATCTAAAGCAACAAATAAGATTTTGATTTATTGAATCTTTCTATTTGCGACCTGCAAATTGTTACTTGCTGTTGCTAAAAAAATTTTTAACCAATAAAAGCGATCGATCTCTTGCAATTCAAAGCGAAAAATACTCACATTTCCAGGGATATCTTTTGTCATCACAAATTTTACTTGGATAATTAACACAGAAGACTTCCATCGGTGTCTGAAAGGGATAAATAAACAATTGAAGAAAAACTCTACAGAAATTTATATTAGAAAGGCAGTTGAAAACAAGACTGTAAAAATTGCAAAATGACACATACCCAGGTTTTAAAACTTTCATCTTTTAAACTATATGCACTTAAAGTCTTCACGTTATATTGCTGCCTTGCCGTTTGTTAGTAATATGCTATCAATAAAAACATGCTCGAAAAAGTCACCAAAGAACATCTTGACATGACAAGCGTATTGCAAGAAAAGATTCAATAGAGTTCATGGTGGGCTTTGATTGT